AATCAGCTGCTTCTGCAGGCCCTCATCCAGGATGCCCCACAGTTCCTGTCTCTGAACATGTCCCAAACTGGACTCAGCATCTCCCTCAGGCCTGGTCCTCCTCCAGGCCTCCCTGACCTGGTGAAGAACATCAGGGCCTACCCTGCTGCTGGGGCCAAAATGTTGGAAGTCCCCTTGCACCTCCTACAGCCTCTCACCACCAATCAAACACCAAGGCCAGTAGTTCCTACCACCTAAATCATAAAATCTCTTCAAGTCCTCTCTGCCTCCTTAGTGTAAATGCCCCACAGCTCTCAATGGACCCCTGCAGGAGTCTCCCCATTAGTTCCCCTGAATATGGTCTTTCCTTATTCCAATCCATGCTTCTCACTGCAGCCAAAGCGACTTTTAAAAAATGCTACTTTCTCGTTTAACTTCTTTGCTGATAGACCTTCAATGGCTCTCTAAAAAATAATAATACTTATTATTATCGTTATTATTGTGGTTGTGTTTCTATAGCTAACACTTATGGAAAATTTTATTATGCCCCAGGACCTGTTCTAAGAACTGTATACCTATTAACTCATTTCATCCTCACAATTCTAAATATCCCCATTATACAGAAGAGGAAACTGAGACTCAGAAAAGCACCTTCAGGGCTTTTGCAAAAACTCTTACCCCATCCTTAACTCTTTGATCTGATTGACTGTTATTCACACTTCAGGTGGGATACACTGGGGAGCATTCTGGGACCTCCCTTACTAGGTGAGGCCCTCCTATGGCATGTCTCCCAGTCTGTAATTACATATTATTTGGGGAGGGGGTCATTTGATTGATATCTGCCACTCCAACAGGCTTTAAAGTCTATGCTTCGCTCATCAAGTACTCAACATGAAACAAGTGCTTGCTCAATATTTGTCGAATGAAAAGGAGAGGGATTGTGGTCAAATTTGCTGGAGGAGGATTTCTTTTGTATGAAAGTCTGTAGGTAGTGAGACCAAGTCACTGTCAGCATCTGGATTCAGGAGTGAAAGGAAGGCAGTCTGGGCAGGTGAGTGGCCATGGGGACGGAGAGCAGTAAATGAACCTGGGGAATATTTAGGAGGTAGACTGAGCAGCCCCTGATAATTAATAGGATAGCGGTGAGGAGAGGGAGGAGTCAAAGGTGACTCCTAGGTTTCTGGCTTAGAGGAACATCTGGAAAGAAGAGGCAGGTTGGGTTGGCAGCACAGTTGGTCCCTAGACTAAGTGAACTGAAACATGGAAAAGTTCTCAGAATCTTTATGCTCAAACTTCTCCGTGTCCAAGCTCTAACTTGATCCTGGTGTACTTGGCCAGCTCATCTCCAACTTACTCCAGCCATAGGGCACGTAGGTACGTAGACCACTGCTCCACCCCAATGTCCCTCTTCCTCCTCCCAGGCTTATGAGTGCTGCCCACTCCTTCCTCCCTCCCTCAAACCCCACAAGACTCAGCTTCAAGGACACCACTAGGATTCGCCCCACTGCCCCTACCCCTTCCTGGGGTTAACATGCCCTCTGCTGCCTCCATGATTCACTCTATCAGAAATGTTTCTCTCTACCCCTGTTCCCTAACGGCTGTTTCTCTGGCTTTTGGGACAGGGCCTGGATCAAGATTAACCTCAAAAGCTTTTCTTGAATTCCCCCCAAGGACTTGTTTCTTACATTAAGAGTGGGGCCAGGTGACATTGAATCCTGAGGCCACTGCTATTTTCAAATTTGGTTTTCTCATCTGTCAAATGGACATGATAATACAGTAGACCCGCCTAGAAGAGTTGTTTTGAGAATCAAATGAAATACACTCTGCTATGTGTTCAGCACAAAGCCTGAAACATTGTTCGCCCCCTCAAATTGTTAAATGTTATTTATTTTAAGAAAAAAATTCCCGCCGGGAAGCTCCTTGAGCTGGAATGGAAGACTGCAGTTCCCAGAACGGCCACACGAGAGAAGTGGCGAGCAGCCTGGGGCGAACTGGGGCTCTGCTGTGCTAAGGCACCTGCTGTGGACCCAGATGGCCTGGCGGGGATTTCTGGGACTTCCCGGCCCCTGAACAGGTGGGCACTGGCCAGGGTGCCGGGGAAGGAGCCTCAGAGATGTTGCTCGGACTCAATCCTCACAATCGTCTCTCCAGCTTGACCCTTTCTTGGCTTGGGGGGAGGCACTGGTAGGCTTGAGGGGGCAAGAGCAGAGGTCAATTGGGATTTATCCTCCGGGTTTGTCATTTGTCTTTCAATCTTGAGTATGATCACTTCTTCTCTCTAGAAGTTTTTATAGTAAAATTTATGGATGTTTTCCCTTTGGCTTCTAGGTTTCATCATGCTTAGAAAGTACTTTATTTCCAAGATTATTAAAACATTGAGTATGTTTTCTTCTGGTACATTATGGTGATATTTAAATATGCGCTCCACCTGACATTTACTTCTGTGTAGGAAAAGGACACTGCTTTCTTTTATTTCCACAAATGACTTGCCAGTTATTTCACCCATTTGTTGAAAGGCCTATATCCTCCCCCCCCGCCCCCATTTACCTGAAGCGCTATCTTTATCATACATGAAACCCCCTTATATGGTTGGCCATTTCTGTACTCCATTCTGTCCTACTGATTCCTCTAGGTCTGCTTCAATATCATACTGCTTTAAATATGCTGACTTTACATCTGATCTCGGAAGCTAAGCAGGGTCGGGCCTGGTTAGTACTTGGATGGAGACCGCCTGGGAATACCGGGTGCTGTAGGCTTAAAAAAAATATGCTGACTTTATCGTATATTTGAATATCAGGTAAGGCAAACCCTTGTCAATTACTTTTTTCTAGCTTTTTTAAATTCCTGCATGTTTATTCTTCTGTATGAATCAACCTCTACCATTATCCCCCCAACCCTTCTGGAAGCCTGGAAGCCAATATAGAGTTTTGGAGCCCCTGAAATTATATGGAAAGTGTATATTTGCACATTTCTCCAGAGGGAAGTCCAAGTTTTCCTCAGATGCAAGGGATCAGTATTCCAAAGGGAGCCCCTGGTTACATGTCTCTGTGAGGGGGTGCCTGGGAGGAGCACAGAGGATTCCTGGTTCCTCCCCTCTCTCCTACAGCTCCACAGGCTCTGCTCTCCACATCCTTCACCTCCAACATTGTCCCAGCCACTTCCCTGGTCCCCATTTTGTCTCCGATAATCTAATCCCCCTTTTTGCTCCAGAGCAATCATTCTACAACACAGGCCTTAGTTCTAGGCCTAATGTAGATTAGATGATAACAAAAATTTTGTTAATAAGTGAATAGAATTGCCCTAAACAGTTTGGCTCAGTGGATAGAGCATCAGCCTGCGGACTTAAGGGTCCAAGGTTCTAATCCGGCCAAGGATACATGCCGGGTTGTGGCTCAATCCCCAGTAGGAGGCATGCAGGAGGCAGCCAATCAATTATTCTCTCTCATCATTAATGTTTCTATCTCTCTCTTCTTCTCCCTTCCTCTCTGAAATAAAAACATGTATATATTTTTAAAAAATAAGTGAATAGAATTGTGAGTCCCAGCACCACCGCTGGCCAGTTGTAGGACCCAGCTTTGGCCTCTCCACATTGTTGGGTCTCAGTTTACTCTTCTCATAGACCAAGTGAGAAGGGATGAAAGGGCGAGAGGTATGTAGAAGGTACAGCTAGCTATCTCAGGACAGTCATTTAATCCCAATCATTTTCCTTTCTCTGTACCTTTCCACTCTCCATTCTCATTTTAATCCATGCCCTCAGAAAAACACTTGTTTTGCCTGCCTCCAGCAAACCATTAGGAAGACATATACTAATAATATTGTCCCCTCTGTAAATGAGTGGCATTAAGAACACTGGAGCTTAGAAATGGACACGGCAAGATGGAGGCAGGCATGACCCTAGGAGACACTTTATACAGCATCCTCCTCAAGTCTCTGGCTACCGAGGAACCCAGGGCTCCGGAGCCCATTGGGAAGTTCATTTAGACCAGTGATGGCGAACCTTTTGAGCTCGGCGTGTCAGCATTTTGAAAAACCCTAACTTAACTCTGGTGCCGTGTCACATATAAAAATTTTTGATATTTGCAACCATAGTAAAACAAAGATTTATATTTTTGATATTTATTTTATATATTTAAATGCCATTTAACAAAGAAAAATCAACCAAAAAAATGAGTTTGCGTGTCACCTCTGACACGCGTGTCATAGGTTCGCCATCACTGATTTAGACAATACCAGGTCCGAGAGCAGGCTTCTCAACCTTGGCACTATTGACGTTTTGGCTTGATAATTCTTTGGCATGGGGCTGTCATGTGCATTGGAGGATGATTAGCAGCATGCCTCCTCTCTTCTCACTAGCCAGTAGCAGCCTCCCAGTTTTGAAAACCAAAGATGTCTCTCCAGACACTGCCAACTGTTCCTGGAAATGGAGGTGGGGGCAAAATCACCTCAAGTGGAAAAACACTGCTCTAGGAGAAGAGAGGGCAGGGGAGGGAGGTTAACTTGGGTCTCAGAGGAGGAAACTCTGCAACGTAGAGTTTGTCTGAAAGGGACACCATAAAGTCTCTTCCCTCATAGCAGGCACTTGGGCAAGTCTTCTCCTCTCCGGGTTTCAGTTTTTCCATCTGTAAATTGGGTTTGATGCTTGTAAGCCACTTCCTCCTTCTCTCATCGTCTGACGTTACTGGTCTGGTTCAGGGTGGGACAGGGGTACCGCGGTGCCATTGAGGTGCCCCAAAGAAAAGGAAGGTTGAGAAAGAACTAAACGAGGTTGTGGTGGAGAGGAGGGTAAGGTATGAGGTGGGAGTGTCCGAGGGATGTAGAGAGGCTTGAGGCATCTTCTATACCCGCCCCCTTAGAGGCCTTACTAGCTTAGGTAGCCTTCAACCTGGCAAACCCAGACTCCCTGGATTCCACTAGGCCCCGCCCACCGTTAAATCCAGCCCGGTTGACCCCGCCCTCCCCGTGGCCCCACCCGCCTTATGCCCCGCCCCCAATAGGCCCCGCCTCCCTCTTCGCCTCCCGCCAGCCCGGGCTCGGGCTTTGCACCCGGCGGTGGCTGAGAATCTTGGTGGCTGCGGAGCCGGCAGCGCAGGCAGACGGAGCAGAGCTGCCCGGCCCGGTGGCAGGCGATGCCCCCGTGAGCTTCTCTCGCCGCCCCGCCCCGCCCCGCGCCCCTACCCCCGCTGAGTCCTCCGCCCGCCTGGGACCGGGCCGCGCCTACCGCCGGGTCCGCGGGGCGGGGTCCCAGGGCTGCACCTGCCCCGCCTTTCAGAGCCTCCTTGGCCACCGGAGACCCCTCCCTGTATGGACCCCAGCCCCACCCCTGGTGAGTCGGTAGGCCTTGTGCGCCTGGAAGTGGACGTGGGGAGAGGGCTGCGGAGGTCTGAGGGACCACCCGGGCGGGGGGAGGGGGGCTCCAGCCGGGAGGCGCCACGTAGGGATGTGAGCTTGCAGGGTCTGGGGGGCGAAAGCCGGGGAGGAGGTGGGATGAGCACAGTGTGTGTGATGGCTCTGGGGTGGGGGCTCAGGTACAAGAGGGGAACATAGGGCATTTGGGGAAGCCTGGAAATGCAGTAGGGGGCTCCAGAGTCTTGAGTTTTTTTGCTGAAGCTCAGAGCATCTGGGGCCCTGGTCTTCAACAGCATTGCCTCGCATGGCATTTTTGGAAAGTGTTTAAAATTCCTCCTGGAAAGGGAGCTGGAAGGCAGCCTGCCTTCCTCCCTCCTGCCTGTGCCCTGGTTGAGAAGCAGCCACTCTTTCCTCCCAATGAGACACCATTGTGGTGCCTAGAGGACCCCCCAGTCTATGAAAGGAAAAGGGTAGTGCTCACCCCAGTCCTGGGGTGGAAGAGAGGGCTTCTGGGAAGCAGGGAAAGGCAGTTGGTCCACAGTGGGAAGTCCAGGGTTTGGGGAAGCTTGGCAAACCCCTTCGTGAGCAACCTGGGCGCTCTCCCACTCGGGGGAAGGTATCTTCACTGGCTGGCCTCCAGGCTACCTGGGCCCATGCCCACATCACTTTCTCTGGACAACCCAACCCTGAGGAGTGGGTTACTTCCCAGCGTCCTGGGCCTGGAAACCTAGGAAGGACCCATAGCTCCCATGGTCCTGGATGGGGTGGGCAAGGCCATACCCAAGGCCAGAGAACAAGGGGTGGGGCCTGGCACGGCCACCTGGGAGCCGTTTGGAGGTGGTCCTATGGGCTGGGGTGTTGTCTGGGTGTGGAGAGGAAGGCTGCTGCCCCTTTGGTCCTGTCTTCTGCCCATGATGACATAAGTCTAGGGTCCTTGGGTTTAGGGACTGAAGTGGTGGGGAGAGGGCCTTTCTGGGCTAGGCCTGGTCACCAAGAGGTTAACTAGCAAGTCCCACAGTTGCTAGCAGCCACCAATTAGTCTGTAATCAGGCAGCTGCCAACTGTCCCTGGGGGTATGTGGGCAACCTAATGGGGCATTCTCTTGGGGGAAATAGGGGGGTTGAGGAAGGCGTCTGTGAAATCTGTGTTTAAACCAAGCACCATGGCCTTCAGAGCTTATTTAGGACCCACAGACCCCTTCTCTGCCCTCTGTGCCAGGCTACCTGGTTCGGGATCTCCAGCCCTGGGATTTGAAACTGACCACTCTCTGCAGGCTGTGAAGCCCAGAGTTGGGCAAACTTGGCTTCAAACCCAGGCTGTGCCACTTTCTGGCTATGTGCTATTCAGGAAATCACTTCCTTTCTCTAAGCCTCCTTCAGTAAAACAGACCCACCTTCTAGGTCTGCTGGGAGGAGTAAATAAAATGGTGGCTTTAAGCTGCTTAGCACAGTGCCTGGAACTCAGGGAAGCTCAGTATGATAACTGCTGAACTCAGGAGTAACTCCTGTGCCAAGGACTTGACAGGACAGGCAGGCAGAGTCAGGTCTGAAGACC